GTGAAGCTGCTGACAGAAGCTAGTCGCGTAATATGCATTTAGTTTAATCAATAAATTATTATTTCGTATTTATTTAGAATGAAATTTAAAGTTATCGTAATCGTCTTATTCTATTAGTTCAACGTCCTTGGTTGCTTGATTGAAGAAGATTGACTTAAAATTATAAATTACCATTTAATTGAGCTTATGCATTCACTCTGGGCTCGTTTGAATAATATAGGCACTTAGGCATTGACGTGGTAAAAATATGCTATCTCATGAAATCATGAGTTAGTTATTGCATCATAATTGTATTGCGTAGGGCTAAGAAACATGGCGTGTCAGGGAAACTTGAAAAGTTTGTTTAGTATCATTATCTGATGCTTCTGCGCATGAGTTCGCCTCTTTCTCCGATGGACAGGGTCATGAATTAGGACTCCCGAGAATGCCCAACTTTTCAAATGAGGAGTCTAAAGACGGCGTTGGGGAACTCTCACCTTCTCTAGCTTCAGTACTACTACTTGCTCCATCACTAGCATTTCGTGCAGGAACTAAAGAAAATATGCGTCTGGCTCTTCTGTTCGTGATAGTTTTAAACAAACGAAACCAACATACAGATGCAGACCATCACCCAATGACAAGTCAAGTACTTATATAATTTTTAATATAAGTACTAAATCAACCATAATAATGTTAATACAATGTTAGTTGCAACTTGTAATGTTTAATTTTGTATACAAATGCAATTAGTGGTTAATAGTAGCGGTTGTAGCAATGTAAAGTATGCTATACAAATAAAAATGATGGCAATAGTAGCGCTTGTAGTACTGTTTATTATACCATACATAGTAAGAAACAAGTAGGTAAATATATAATCCAAGACAGGCAATTTGTACCTACAAGTGTACCTGTGAGTTGTTGAGGCACCTGCCTCAAGCAACAAAATGCTTATACCATACATAGTAAGAAACAAGTAGGTAAATATATAATCCAAGACAGGCAATTTGTACCTACAAGTGTACCTGTGAGTTGTTGAGGCACCTGCCTCAAGCAACAAAATGCTTTGTATAACTCTTTACCTTTTCGATTCAAGCGTTAGAAAGCCATGAGTAATATTACGAAAATGAATAAACCTTACCGTGACAAAAATTTCTGCGTTCGGTGTGGTCGTTATTTTTGACCACTACTTTGAAATTTGAATTTACCACAGATTAACTATTAATGCCCCATCCACACGATTGATGTTTGCCACAAACACCAAACACAACAAAAATTACATATTAATAATAGGTACAAATTTAGAGGTATAGACACCGATCCCGAACAGTGGCGAACACAAACAGGAACAGGCAAACACATACAAACCCCATCCACATATAGGTGTTTGCCATTGTTTGCCAAGCGTATGGACGGGGCTTATAGTGTTATTTTGACATCAAAATAAATTTGTACCTATTAAACTTCTGGACATATTTATTGGTTCTCCTTAGAGTTTAGGTTTCGATGGCCCCTACCGAAATATGATTGCTAGATTGAACAAAAACAGTTTTTAACAAAATAAACCTGATACATTTTACTATCTTCCATGTTTTTCGATCGTATTGTTTGAAATTTGAATTCAGAATACCATACGACATGGAGCTACGCCTAACAAATCGGATATGCGCCTTGTTAAAGGCAATTGATTTTTGAATAAAAACATGTTTTATCAACTAAAGGTTTGATTTAATAATGCGTGTTGCTTCCATGGGCATCTACCACAGCTCTCATACGATTAGGCATAGAGTTTATCAACCGCTCTATGAAATTTTGAGGGATCATCTCCCATTCCTCTTCTATGGCTATTTTCAACTCCTGCATCGTCTGCGCAACTGGCTGACTAGCCCTCACACGTCTTTTTAGCTCATCCCACATGTGCTTAATGGGGTTCATGTCTGGGCTTCTGACTGGCCAGTACATAACTGTAATGTTCACATCCCGAAGATATTCCCCTGACGATGCCGGCCGCATGGGCTCTTGCATTATTATGCATAAAAAGGAAATATGGGCCCACATAGTCCGCGTATGGTAGGAGGTTCTAAGCACTCACGAATGTACCTTTCAGCAATTAATGTTGGCAGCCGTGGTCCTGTAACAACCTCAAGTTGAGTTTTGCCGCTCGCGGATATACCGCCCCAGACAGTCCATGAGCCACCGCCATAAGCAACCCTCTCTCAAAGCAGCATTATGCGAAACGCTTTCCCTTACGTCGGTAGACGTTCTTCCTTCTATCATTGCCATGTAACACAATTTTAGACTCATCAGAAAAGAGGACACGGCTCCAATCTTGCTGTGTCCAATTTAAATGACTGCGTGCGACACGAAGGCGCGCTGTTCGGTGGGCTCGCTTTAGTTTGGGCCCATTAGCTAGCTTGTGTGGTACCATGCCATATCGCGTTCTTTTAGATCCTTCTCAGAACAGTTCGAGCGCTCACAGATACTCCGTGGAAGTCGCGAAGTTGATTTTGTATCTCAATGGAGGTAAGGTGACGATTTCTCAAGCTGGTCGTCACGATGAATCGATCCTGCCTTTCAGTTGTGACCCGAGATCGTGGCCTTCCTTGGCGACGAACAAAGCCGCCAGTCTCTAGGTACCTCCAATAAACATTTCGGACCGCAGATCGACTTAAGTTGAGCACTCACGTTTCTTTGGCTGTATCCAGCCTGAATAAGTGCCACAGCTTGGGCGGCGACTTCAGGTGAAGTATCCATAGATTATTGATGGAACCTCACCTGAATGTTAAGAATAAATAAGTAATCCCCTATACTTATTATACTCTTTGAAGTAGTTTGTTGCAAAACCAAAGATATCAATCACTTTTTCAAGAATTAAATCCAAGTAAACCAATAAAACCAAGTTTTCTTAGTATGTAGGTATTCGATTGTTTGATATCAACAAACATGCTCCAAATTGTCTTTTGTTTCTTTAAATTCTGTGTTTGAAGTTAAAAAAAACTATGTATGAAATTGTGGATGTGCCAGGTTCAAAACTGCATAAAAACTTTTTGCTCGACCTAATATAAAATTTTTGCTAGCACCAAACGAAACTGAAAATACAAGGTGGGCCAATAGATGTGTCGAGAAGTGTCTAACTTTCGAGAGACATACTAAATAAATTATTATGTTTTCGTTCGGCTTACTCACGTAGGTACTCACGAAACTAGTCGAGTTTCTCGTCAAATAATTACGTGATTTCTATCTAAATCATATTAATACAACTTTGCGAAGTTAAGTCATATTTTTTCAAACTGAGACGTATACTATAATATACAACGTCACTTTCAAGGGTTAATATCGTCTGGGACGTCACTCATAAAAAGACAAAAGAAAATTGTGTATTATTTTAATAAAAAGTAGGTAAGCAAGTATGAGAAGAGGTTCTCAAGATTGAAAATCAGTAAAGTAGAGTTCAGATAATAATTGTATTTTGAGAAACAACAATCACTGAATTGACACAAGGTGACAATATGAGTAGGTATAGAACAGCGGGTAGAACTTAATATTACACAATAAATGTTGTGTGCATAGTAGGCGCGTAAGCGGCAGCACTGAGACTGGCGACGCGAATGAGCGCCGCGGTCTCCAGGGTTGCGAGAGAAAGAGCCGCTAAGCCGCTTATGTCTATCTTACTCAATGGCTTAAGACTGCGCGACGTGTTGCTACAAAAGCTTTTACAGAATAAAGTTTCAGAAAATAAAAGCAATCAAAAGGAGTGCGTCGTTAAGGGTAATTTTGAAATAAAACCACTAAAATATTTTCCGGAAAATATTAATTTATGTCAAAAGTTAAAAAGTGTATTTAACAGAGCTCAGTTACAACCACTTATGAAAAAATAGATAGGCAAGTAAGCATGACTTTTTTGTAATTTTCAGGAAAGGCTCAATAAGCCTTCCCCAATACATAGAGAAACGTTCAAAATAAAAGGTACACTAACTAATATGGATGGAGATTCAAAAATCATCAAACTTCACACATTAGTCAACAAATAAATGTAATATTCTATAAAATTAACTATAATATAAATTAATTATAGTTAATTTCATTTATTTCCTTAGTGACCTTAAGACTAATAAATAAATAAATAAATAATAATACATGATACATAATTTTGCTAACAAAGGCGTCAAATATTATGTACCGCTATGGCAGTGTGGATTTAAATATTTACTAATAACCATTAATGGTTGTGTTGTATCAACTCAAATTAAGGCTTTTTTCATTAATCCACATACATAATATTAACTATTTCTTGGGGTTTAAATTTAGTGGTTTATTTAAGTACGAATTTTCCCCCTTTTAGCAAAAACAATGGCAGCTTTTAGCAAAATAGATACCAAATCTCAACTATTTATTTTAAAATTATTTTAACAACAGTATAAAATTCGTATTTTGCTACTCACAACGTAATACTAGTTTGTGAAATAAATAATAATTCGACATTTTATTTATCTAAGAACTTTAAACTAAAAATTCGAATGCTGATAGTTAGCTAATTATTAGAATCTCAATAATTCAATATAAATAAGTACAAATCACAAATAACTGCAATACTACGAGATAAACTACAGTCAGTGCTTAGCTAAACTAATTCGTGCTTCAAACTTACAACTAAGTACATGTGCACACACTAGGCTCGTCTAGACACCTCCTTATACATTACATATCATGAGATGCTTCAAATAATCTATGCTATGTTTGAACTTAATTTTGTCTTATATCAATACAGAAACATTGCTCTTACAACACAGTTTTCTGATTTAAAAATAAATAATAATTTAAATGTATAAATAAAATTAATGTCGAACATTAAGGCCTCGTCAATACTGCTAATACCACAGAAATATTAATATATCTGTGGCTGTTACAATAGGTAAGTAAATACAATTTATATCGAATAATTGCACCAATCATATCACTTGGAACAAGTTAGCACCACTTATCACAGGTAGCTGCTAAATAGAAGAAGTGTACAATTACACAAATTAGTTAACTAATCCAGCATCCTTGGCCATGCTATAGAATAAGGAGTTTTTATCCTTTAGCAGTTGTTCAGGAGGAGCAAACTCGACGAGTTGTCCTTTGTCGAGGACCATGACCTTGGTGGAGTCCATGATGGTGTTGAGGCGATGCGCGATGGTGAGCACCGTGCACGCCGCGAACTCGGAGCGGATCGTCTTCTGTATGAGCTCGTCCGTCTCCAGGTCCACGGCGGCCGTGGCCTCGTCCAGGACCAGCAGTGGAGTCTTGCGCAGCAGTGCGCGCGCCAGGCACACCAACTGGCGCTGTCCCACCGACAGGTTCTCGCCGCCCTCCGCCACCTCGTGGCGCAGCCCCGCCGGGAGCCCTGCAATATATCACTGTACTACTCCGCCGGCGCACTCGGCCCTGGACGGGAGGGACATGTCATCGTACTACTTACCCTGCACGAACGGCTTCAGGTGCGCGTACTCCAGCGCGCGCCAGATGTCCTCGTCCGTGAAGGTCTCGAAGGGGTCGAGGTTCATGCGCAGCGTGCCGGAGAAGAGCACGGGGTCCTGCGGGATGATGGTGATGCGGGAGCGGAGCTGGTGCAGGCCCATGGCGGCGATGTCCAGGCCGTCGATGAGGATGCGCCCGCCCACGGCCTCCACGATGCGGAAGAGCCCCAGCGTGAGCGTGGACTTGCCGGCGCCGGTGCGGCCCACGATGCCGAGCTTGTCGCGCGGCGCCACGGCGCACGTGACCTCGCGCAGCGCGGGCTCGGCGCCGGCGCGGTACGCCAGCGTCAGCCGCTCCAGCTGCAGCGCGCCCGTCGCCGGCCACTCCGCAGGGGGACCGTTCGCCACGGTCCACGCCGCTTCCTACGCACATGTCAATCATATTATGTTAAACGAGCGACTTAAGTGTACAAATAAACTGAAAACTCGAATTCAATGATTCCAATTTTTTTATGTTACGTTCAAAGTTTATATTGTACTTAAATGTTTTGGCATAAATTATAACACTTTTTTATATTATTTAATTCACTCACTTGCTTAATCTCAGCATATTCCTTCATTCGCTCGACTGCTACGATGTCTGTCTCCAATCCAGACATCATTTGGACCAACCAACTCAAAGTTTGCGTAATCTAAAAAAGATCCCAAATTGTTAATTAGTTACCATGAATGCAATTAGGGAAAAATAAATACAATTTCGTAAACTACCATATCATATCTAAACTTACTTCAAGAGTATAGCTGATAGAGAGACCAGCTAATCCAGGACTAATAGTTTCCCTTGCCATGACAGCAAATAACGCAGCAAAGAATATAATCAAACCGCCGACTGTCTCTAGTCGGATCGCAAGCCATCTGTCCGAAACTTTACTCAAGTAATGTACTGATTGATAGTGGTCTACCTTCTGTTGGGATTCTATTACAAACCTGAGAATTAACATTTATTACATTAGTATGTTATTTAGTTTCGGCAAAACATTTATGTGCGCTTCTGTATTTACCTGTCTTTGACGCCAAAAGCACGAATGATGGTTGCACCCAAAATGCTCTCATTGAAGTGCGAGTATGCTGGTGAGCGCGCGACTGATTCAATCCTCATAAGTTGGCGAGTGGTCGGCACGTAAAATCGTTGTATCATGTAGTACAACGCTGCGATGGGCAGTATCACGATCATGAACATGGGTGTGGAATAACTTATCACAAAGACAGTTCCAATGACCTGAAATAAAAAATGTTTTTAGGAGACATGAACCATTTTTGTAGGAATTAGTCATATAGGACAATATAGGTATCTAATTATTTATTACTGCTGAATAGGTACGAGTTTACACAAAGATTAAATATCTTTTGTGGTCCCCACACACCCTAATAATGGCCGTGACCTCTTCAAGGTTTTCTATTATAGCTTGGACTTGACACGCACAATTGAACTCAGCTCGATACTAAATTATTGTGTCAAATGGTCAAGGTTATCTTTGTATTTAACAGTTACACTTATTTTTAAGTAAGTCAATACCAAAATATACCTGGATGGAATTAGTATAATATTCAGTTTGGTGGTCGAACTAAGCTTCGTTTTTCCTGCAGATGTTAACTTATGTAGTATTCGAACGTCTATATGTGATTGTATTTATTATTCATTAACAAAACATTAACGACAACATTTATACCTAGTGGACTTAAAACCTACCTCAAAAATTCCACTAAGAGTATTCGAGATCTCCCAGGACAGAGAATTGTCAACAGTTTCAACATCTTTGGAGAATCGTGACAGCAGTCTGCCGACGGGAGTGACCTCGAAGAACTGCAACGGAGACTTGAGCACGTTGTTCAACATGAGTGCGTGTAATATCTTAGCCGCTCTCCAGCACGCCAGGAACGGCATTAGATCCGTGAACAGGGATGCTAGAGCTGAAAACACCAAACATTTTTTTTAATTATGACAATCTTGAATATGACCTAACAAAATTTTGAACAATTAGATATCGAAGCCTTAGCAACTATTATGAATATTGTATATATGTAAATATTCAACAAAATCATCGAATGACTGCTCCCGCCTGGGTGAGGCGGAAGGGAGTGTCAGACTCTTACTGACTAAAAACCACCCCGTTCCTTCTACTGCACGTCGAGCCGGAGCCCCGGTTACCCGTTAGGTTCTCCGCGACTCCGAATCGGCATCGGCCCTATTGGGCCCCATCTGTGGTGGTCTGATGGCTCTTTGAGGCGCGCGTGGAACGCGACGCGCCGTACGCTCGGGTCTGTTTCTGGTCGGACGGGGAGCCACCCATGCTCGCCGTCCGCAGGCCCGCGCTTACGGTGGCCGGAGATCGTCCCGCGATCCCCGACGCCCGGTGTGTCCTTCGCGATGGCTGGGTTGCGAGGAGGCAGCGTTTCGCTGCCTCACGCGTCCCGCCTCCTCCTTAGCTAGCATGACTGCTTCGCAAAAGGAGGAGACGGCATCCCAGTCCCCCTCCCTCCGCATCATGGCCTGCACTAGGCCCGGACGCGAGAGGTCGCCATCGCCGATCACTTCCCTGAGGGCACGGCGGTGCTCAGCCCACGCAGGGCATTCCGCTACGGTGTGTTCCACCGTGTCCTCAGGGCGGTCCTCGCAGTGATAACACCCAGGTGTTTCCTCCCGCCCCATCAGACACAGGTACCTCCCGAAACTTCCATGTCCGGTGAGGACCTGCGTCAGGCAGTAGGTGAGGACGCCGTAGCGTCTCTCAAGCCACTCCTCAAAGAGGGGTCTTACCGCTGCAATGGCAGCGAGCCCAGCCCTCGGTTGCGACAGTCGCTGCTGCCATTCCGCCATGAGATCGCGCCGGAGCTCATCCCGCCACGCACTTATCTGGCGCGGCAGAGGAGTTTCGCCCCGGCGACGTGCCTCCGCGCGCATGCGATACACGCGCGCGAGCACCTTCGCCTCCAGATCCCACGGCGGTGATCCGGCAAGGAGGTTCGCCGACTCCCCGGAGATCGTGCGGTATCCGCGGATCATTCGGATCGCCATGACCCTCTGTGACATGAGCAGCGTCCGAGCAGGACGCCGCAACAAGTTCGGCGCCCAAACAGGGGCGCCGTAGAGGGCCATGGACCGCACGACCCCGGCGTATAACCTCCGGCAGGAGGCGTTTGGCCCCCCGAGGTTGGGGAGGATGCGCTTAAACGCAGCCCCCGCCCTCGCCAACTTTGGAGCCAAACGTCGGAAGTGCTCCACGAAGTTCCACCGACTGTCGAGGACGAGTCCCAGGTACTTCATCGCCGTCTCGACGCCGATGGTAACCCCTCCCGCCATTATTTGGGACCCACCCGGAGGTGGCGCGTTCCCGCGGCCATGAAAACACATGGCCTCGGACTTTCAACAACGTAGTAACGTATAAATATTAAGAATTGCAAATGAATGAATGTCTGATACGTGCAATGTTTCGGTACATAATAGATGCATCATTCTCTTTACCTTGACCGAATCCCAGGCCGCCGTACACGCCGAGGTACATGTCTCGTCGTTGTGTATCTACGGTGCCGTTCACGATCTACAAATTAAAATTATATTTTGCAAAGAATGTAACTAGACAACTTTGGGCAGGTATGATTCGAAAGAAAATTATTTAAGTGATGAAGTATTAAACAGATATGTATGTTACAAAAGGAGCTATCTTAGAATATTTTATTTTCGGCTGTATTTATGCATCTATTCTTTCTGCTTAAGAAAGACAAATGGGTTTCTGTTACAGCCTGTATATCTAGTTTAGATAGGAATATAAAACTAAACCTAGTTTAAATATATCCCCAAGCGGTCACCGGTGACCACTCTCCACTGTTCTCCACTGTTGTCACTCCAATGTTTAGAGACTACTTTTGTATGAACAAATTTAGGGGATGATTTTAAACATGAAATCATATTATAAACCATGTTACTTATACAATACAATTTGTATATAGAGATCTGTCGAGAAATGAATTATTTTGGATTCAACAATACTAAAAAATATTACGTATCCCTTACATTTTAACACAATATACGGTGATAAGATTTTGCTGGTTACCAATTTTTGTAAAGGGTGATTCATCATTTCCACTATTTTGTAACATTACGCGTTGCGTCATTGTTCGAATACATCCCTATTATACCTAGAAGGCATACTGAAGCATATTTGTTTTAACAGAAAACAATGACGGCGGTAAAAAACTAACCATTTTGTCGTCGTTGGACCATATCGCCAGCCAGAAGTTGACACTGATTTGTAGTGTGTGTAGTACAATGTACATAATAACTGTTGCTATGGCTGATTTTGTTCCGATCTTTGATAGGTAATGCATGTACACTTCCAATTTCACCTGTGGATATAGAAAAGAAATAATATCAAATTTTTTAACTTAAAATTTCCAAAATTACACAACGGTTAGATACATACGTATCTTATATGTATATTAAGATGTAATGTATATTATGTATATTATATGTATATTAAGATGAGTTGGTCATGTGAAAAGAAATAATGAAAGATTAAGAAACGATTACCTGAAATAGCAAAGTAGCTATAGTGAGCAAAACGTATACCTACAGATTCCAATGGAAAGAAGGTTTAAAAAGGACCGTTGCAATTATCAGAACACAGAAGTCACGCGACTAGATGCAGTTGTGTACATGGTAAGAGCAAAAGCTCGTCCGTTATCCCATAATAAGTTAACTAGTTATAGGCACACCTAATTGGTAATGCTATCTATTCTATGAATAAAGGATCTATGGACCGTTAAAGGGGCGGTCTAACGTGTCTATCTGCTGTTTGTATAAGGAGGTATGTCGATACTCACTTTGCCAGATTCAGTTTTCTCGTCCTCAATGAGTTGATCAAACGCCTGTTCGTCTTCCGTGGCGCCTTCCTTGTCTTTAGCTTGAGTATCCTGAGAGTGGTCGCCTAAACAAAGGATTTTTATATACTTTTACCTCACATAGCATTTATGTAACTGTTTCTAAAATTATATAATATTGTACATTAATTTTACTACTGTTAAACATTAAGTTTATATTTCTGAGTTATATAATATTGTACAATATATATCTATGTACATAGTGCATATATAGTGAATGGATAAGTGTAAGTACTGAACTTAGGATTATTTTGCTCATCAATGATATTTATGACATCTAGAATCTAGATAGATTTTTATAGATAAAAAATATGTATTAGGAAAGTAAACTTTTCATACCTGCTTCCAAAACTTCTGAAGCGGCCGATCGTGAAGACAAAGATCTTGCCAGTTGTAACTTTCGTTGAAAATCGGACCCAAGTTTGTTCTCTAAATCATTCTTGATGCCTTCCAAATCTGCGGGAATATTTTAACATTAAGCGGCCGATTATGTTGTTATGTGATTATTCCCTTGTGGCCTTCATGCATGACATGCTTACTACAATTACATCCTTGAATCCACTGCTATGATAACAGATGTTACGTTAACTATTCGTTCAAAATATCGAATGGGAAATAAAATAGACCATGACGACGTGATGACTCACTCGAGTTCTGGTTTCTAATCGGGATGATGAATGTGAATGTCGCACTAATGAAATGGAACTATAAACGGCTGCAAAATAAGGTGAATTGTAAAGTAACACAAAGTGATAACGTAATTTGTTATACAAACAGCGAAACAGTATCTCTCTCAACAATATTTACGTAGGAAGTGTGATAGCTAATCGCCGGCTTATATTTAACGTAGGGGTATTCTTACTGAAATGTTTGTCAAAGATTATTATTGGCAAGTGGTTTGATACCTTGTGTTGCTGAAGATGTTTCTGCGATACTAAGATGATGCAGTAGAAACTCGGCGAAGGCGCCCTTCTTCTCGAGCAGTTGTTGGTAGGAGCCGGCCTCCGAGACCTCTCCGTCGCGCAGCACTACCACGAGGTCCGTCTGCGCCAGGTACGACACGTTATGGGTCACCCACACCCGCGTCTTGTTCTTCAGCAGCCCACTGGGTCCCAGTACCTGCAGAAAACCAGAGCCGTCAGCACTGCGGCAAAACTTAGTCCACGAGTGGCCCGGGTATGCCACACCCACCTTGTCGAAGATGTGCTTGCCAACGTGTGAGTCGACGGCGCTGAGCGGGTCGTCCAAGAAGTAGTTGTCCGCGTCGCAGTACACCGCGCGCGCCAGAGAGACGCGCTGCTTCTGTCCGCCAGACAGGTTTATACCTGTTATGAAATAAAAACACTTGAAACAAGGAATTAATAAAAATATATTAACATACCATTTTGCAACAAATATTGATAATATTTAATTTGTACCTTTATAATAGATCATTTATACCTTTCTCTCCGATTTCAGTCTGGTCACCTCCTGCGAGTATTTCTAAGTCTGTCGCCAAGGCACAGGCCTCTATAACATTTTTATACTTGTTCTTGTCAAGTGGCTGATCGAAAAGAATGTTATTTTGTAGTGTAGCATTTTGAATCCAAGCCTGTTGGGAAACGTACGCAATGTTGCCTGGAGAAAAAAGTGTTCTATTAGCGCCTGACAATAATAGAATTACTTTGATAAATCATCTTTTGGAGAAATTAGGTTCTTACCTTTTATATTTATACGTCCAGAAAGTTTGTCCATGTCTCCCAACAAGGCGGACACCAAAGATGTTTTACCAGAACCAACGCCTCCAACAACAGCCACGAGTGATCCGCGAGGTATTTGCAAGTTAATGTTCTTCAGAACAGCCTTAGATTCATGATCACCCCACGTGAAGTGACCATTTTCTACCACGATTTGATGTTCTAAAAATTAATAATAATAAGTTACGAAGTAGTATACTCATTTGCTGCTTACAGATAGGCAAGTTGGTTTCATGGCGATTCATAAAAAGTGGTTGCTATGCAGACAAAAAGTAGGTACCAACTTGTACCTACCTATCTTACTTCATATTTTTTATAGCAAGTACCGTGACTGAGCAGTTAATGATGTTTTTTTTGTGGTGTCATTGTGCGATGTATTAAAAAATAAGTTAAGCGTAATTTACGTGTAAAAGTGTACAATATTACTAAGTTACTTACTCTCATCTGGGTTGTGTTCTATCGCGTTGACGTCTAATTCTTCAGAATTCAAAAATTTGTTCAGTCTCTTTAAGCTCACTGAAGCCTGTTTAATAAATAATATAATCATTATATGTTCAAAGGCATTTAGGTATATTAGTAAACCTTATTTTAATTTAGAAAAAGTACCCACCTGTATAATGTCGGATATCACATTAGGCAGCATGAACATAGGAAATCTGAGGATATTAAAAAGGGACAACGCGACGAAGGCGCGTTTAGAATCCAATACTTCCGTATCGTTTACCAGCACAAAACATGTGAATGACATCAATGATACCTAGACAAAAATCAACTTTAAGCATTATGAAATAGAGATTAATTACAATCACGAACATTTTACAAAGAAAATGAGTTTCTTATAATTATTGATGGGTAACTTACAAGGAAAGGTGTACATATCCATATAAATATCATAAATGAAGTAAGGATGGCGATCTTTTTTAGAACAGCCAATTCTTTGTTCCTTATTCTCAAAATTTGGTTTTCGAAACTTTCTTCCCAAGCGTACATTTTGAGTACCTGAAAGGTAAGAAATAACATGAACATGACTTGTTTACAAGTCAAAACACGATAGTAAGATATCCAAACTTCGCTAAATAAATACAAGGTCATGGGAATAGTACAATTTTTTTACCTTAATCCCATTAAGCACTTCACTCATTAATTTAATTCTTTGGTCTTTGTAAAGCATCAGTTTAGATTGCATTTTCTCTTGGAATCCTGCTAGTACCCCGTTGAAGGGCATCAGGATGATAATGACAGCTAGACCGGCCATCACAGAGGGTCCTAGGACTCCCCATAGGAAGTATAGGGCTAATGCGATTTGCAGTGGTGCAGACCATATCATATTTATGAAGGTCAAGTCGCAAATCCTGTACAAACAATTATTTTTAAAGTATGAGCTAAGAGGAAAACAAAGGACCCGCGATACGTAGAAATTGTTTATTTTCGCAATGTTGTGTGCCTTGAATCGATTTCAAAGTAGGTAGGTATTATTAGTTTTCATATTTTAAAATTCTCATGGTGTCTGTGTTATTGGTAGTCTTCTTGTTTTTGATAATATTCTAGTCCCTTGTTAATATGGATACCTACATAACTGGCAAAATCTATTTTAACTAGAGGTATACCTACCTACTATTGTCTTATTTCTGGGAATAACCAACGATATTCTATTTTATTCCACACTTAACAAAAAAATACTTACTTATCGATGTCTGTAGACATTAAGTTAATAATTTCTCCTGTAGTGGACTCTTTTCGAGCGGCATTCGATAAAGAAAGAGCTTTCTTATACACAACGCTGCAAAGCGCATTTTTGATTTGTATACTTATTACGGATAAGTTTATGAAATACTGTCCAAGGAACAGGCTTTGTACGATACAACATAAGAACATGCTGACTGCGTAGACATAGCCTTTCCATACAGGATCGTTGCCTTGAATAAATCCAATAATATGTCTGTAATCAAAAAGCTTGATGTTGAACCCGATTCAGTAATCTAAAATCCATGATTATTTTTGCTAATTTCAATTTATTTAATATTTTTTTGGGTTAAATTATTTATATGTGATTAAAAAGAAAACTAAGTACTAATCTTTTGTTCCTTTTGATATAGACTTGAGATAGCAAAGATTGGGAACTCTACTAATTTGTAGTGGGTTTTCAATTCAAGTAACTATTTACATCAGTTTTAATTACATGCCATGATAAGTAGGAATCTGGTATGCACTTATTATTGTAAAACAAATATCGGGTTACTTACTCCAGTAATTGGGGTGATACAAAGATGAGTAAATCGTGAATGATTTTCAGAAAAACGGCGAATAAAAAGTGGTATCCAAAAGTTAAGCACAACACTGGCAGTATCGATATTGGTTTGGTTGACTGCTTCTGATTTATGGGAGCAGTAGCGTCACTAGTTGAGGCACTTGTGTCAGCAGTCCTGAAGGAAAACATCATTTTGTACAACCATTTATTGAATAAAATTAGAACCTATTCTGGTAAAATAGTAAGCATACCTAATTAGCTATTGCGCGTCTAGATAGTATCTAAGTGAATAGTTATAATACATCAAATTTTGGTATATATAGGGTGTCCGGGCAGTTGACGTTGAAGCGTAAATTTTTTTGCGACATTTTTGGGAGACGGACAGAGAAGGAAAAAAAGACATTCTGTTTAGTGAAGCTAGTTCTATAGCAGACAATTATTTTTAAGTGATAAGCCGGTAAAGAGCAATTAGCGTCGCCCATAAACTCCCGGAACACCAAAGGCGTTACAAGTGCGTTACCGGCATTTTGGGATTAGGAATTTGAGGATTGTTAGGGAGATTGGGGAAGAAAGGGGGGAGTAATTGGGCCTTCGGTAACCTCACTCCCTCGTCGGTTTTATGTGCTGTGGTGCCTATCACTCCGGTCGAGCCGGCCCATTCATGCCGAAGCGTGGCTCTCTCCCACATTTAATGACCATTTCCCAAAATAATAACATGATACTAATTACTACGTTCACAGGGCGTGTACAGTACACAAGGCGCAATCATGATGATGACGTCTTATGACAATATTCTTTGTTAATAATAAGTCGAAGTCACCTACTATATGTAATTAAACCCATTTTACGTTGTCATGTAGCTACCTACATGACAACGTAAAATATAAAACTTAGGTAATTACTAATTACCTACATATGTATTACATATCAAATATTTCCGTAACCAATGACGAATATTAATATCCGTTGGAATTATTTTTATCAAGGCTCGTATCGTATTAATATCTTACTAGGTAGGTACTTAACTTACTGCTTTTACCCGTGACTTTGTCTGTAATAATGACTTCCGGAAAAATTTGAAAATATTCAGCTCTCTACAATACAACTAGCATAGCAGGTATAGTAGTTACAGTTGTGCGTTGTTTTGTTTATCAGTCAGTCCGTCTGTCACATAGGATCACCGGACACTTAGTAACGAAAGAGTTTTCTATAAAAATATGTAGTATAAAGAAGAAAGATTTTATTTTTTGTTTGTTTGTTCGAATTTGAAATTTCTTTTACTGTTAGAATCCTATCTGATCAATGATGAACATAGGTTATAATTATACCTAATTAATAAGAGAGAAAAAAAGGAACCGTGTGAAAATTTCGTGTGGTACCTAACTCTTTTTCTTGTATAGAAGCACTATTTTTACTACTACTTACACACGTTTGGTAAACTAAATTTAATACATTTGGTTTTTTTCTCATTAAGTGGTAGATTATTAATGGTGAACCAATTAATGCACTCGAAGAATGGAGCTGTTTACATTGTCAAGATTATTAATAAACAACATTTCACAATAACTATAACTAAATTGAGTCTGATGAGATTTGTTACACAGCATTGCAATTAACCTTAGAGAAAACTAATTAAAAAGTCCAAAATTTGCCCAGAAGTCATTATTATACGCGGACGAAGTTGCGAGGAACAGCTAGAACATAATATTTCGATTGATTTTGTTCTAGGTACGTAGTTAATGTGTAGTCAATTAGATACCTACTGAACCCAAAGTAGTTATACTTAAAGTCACAGAACATATCCTAAAGTCATTCTGGTATTAATTGATCGCGATTAGGCATGACAACACCGATGCCGTACGGCATTTTTAAGGCAACACGGGAAATAACGGTATTTTCAATTTTTTGAATGTTAAAATAAAGCATAAAGGTTGAATAAAATAATTGTAGCTTACAGTATGTACACCTATATTAAGACACATAGACATTCAATAATTTTAAGCAAAATATGTTGTATTATCGATATTTTGTTCTCTGCAGGTATTGAACAAGCGCAAAAACTTAAAAACGAAAGCGAGGTCACAAAGACCCAGGCAATTTTACTTTCACTTTCATTGTAAAAACAAGTAGGTACCTAGGTACGCTGTATCCAATTATTCAACGATAATATTTGTAGATTGTACCTACTCAAATTATCCTATCTGTAAGACTAACAAGTTCACAATTTGGCACACATTTTAATTAATATTAGACAGTGGCGTTAGTAGCTACAGGGTGGCAATTCGGCAAAATGCCACGCGCCCCCAACTGGAAAAAGTCTCGTTTAAAGGTCTGAAGTTCTCTCTTTTTTATTGGGAAGGGAGGCCACCAGCAGTGGCGTGCTTTGGTAGAGCCCCGTATAAAAAATTGTTTTTATGTCTTTACCTTATGAAGAGTAAAGATAAATAATGTATATTATAACTTTCGTGAGACATACTAAATTAATTACTATGTATTTCATGATGCAATTATAATTAAAAAATAATATTCGTTTGAACTTAATTAAAAAAATACATACCTAATTATTATATGTATATGCAGGCTATTTTTTTATTTCTAGTTTCTAGTATAAGTAGTGGTACATCAACAGGTGGTTTTCGGAAATAAATAATGTTGTATTAATTTAACTTGAAAAAATATGAATAAAAAACATTCGCATAAACTCAAGTACAAAGTAAATATAACAATATGTAGCATGACATTGCGCAATAATTACTAAATTGAAATCGGTATTTGTCCATGCTAATAATAATTGCTATCTCTTCAAATATTTAATTTATCTCTAGGGTTTAGTCATACACAACATGACTTTAGCAATTACTATGAATGCAGATAACAGTTCAGCAATAATCGGATATTTGTCATTTGTATGTCTGTCTTATCAAAGAGATTTCTCCTTGTTGGTATACCTACTGAATTATCAAACTTAATTGTATTAACCTCGTACTTTACTGAATATAACACAATGGATAAAATGTCCCTTCCTGTATCTGTGAATTGTAACTCTGTCAAGCTTACTGCATAAAACGTGTAAAGAGTAGTCTGCAATCTAATAATAGTATTTAGGTCCTTATAACAAAATACAATACTATGTAAAATTTAGGACATATTACTCCATAGTATATAACTATATACCTAAGTACATAAAATATTTAATAGATAATAGAAAATACATAATAGACTGCCTCGTTGGCCGAGTGGTTGCAGGTGCGAGTGCCGGGCAGGGGGTCTCGGGTTCGATTCCCGGATCGGGAAAAGTATTACTGGGTTTTTAAAAAATTCTCAGTAGTAGCACGGAATCTGGAATTGTGCCCGGTATGTGGCAATAGGCTCACCCCCTATTACATGGGACTCATAGCATAAATAGTGAAAAGTGGGTGTTACATTGTACAGTGTCATAATGTGCACCTCTGCCTACCCCTGCGGGAATAAAAGGCGTGATGTTATGTTATGTTACTTAAAATATTTGAGTATTTAGATAAGTACCTAATTTATGCATATTATTAATTTATCTGGAAAGGTGCAGTGAACCCACGCACTCAGGCGTGTGACGTCTCTTGTTGTCTGTGATTTCCGCCTAATTACGTAATACGACACAGTTAATTCTCCGAAAAAACTTTTATTATATGTTTACTCATAAAAAATAATCTTAGGTAGTTACAGCAGGTATTTCCGAAGATAGCGTAATATGTTTCAATGAATTTCACAATGTTAGGTACCTATGTTTGTGTCCCGTGTTATGATACAAACTATAATAAAAATAGATAAACAGGTATACTACACTCAATACAAATATCTTCCTTTTTTATCTCGGTTAAAAATAAAAATTATATCAGTTCGTTATTAGGTACCTACCTATTAGTTATTATTACTTTTCATTGAGTAACTTTATACTACACATACTTAGGTACTTTGTATCCAATATGAAACAAATATTCAGTACCCACTTTTCCAGAGCAGCTATGAAATATTATTTTGAAAAACTTACTTTGCTTGTTTTTGAGAAGCTCTCTGCCAGTATTTCTCAAACCTAGGAACGACTTCTTTAGACGTCATTTCCGGGTTTAACGGCCATAAGTCTTCTTCTTTGAGAGTTCTTCGGAAGCCCGTTAAAACTAGTGGATCGAACCAGCTAAAGGTGAGTTCACTAGGCACATTCGATCTTTTCTCGGGAGATTGGGCCTGTAAGGTTTATGTAGTTTTAGAAAAGTTGGAACTAATGAGGCGTAATGTATAAGCTTCGATAAACAATGGCAAATTGTCGAGCAATTTACAAAATCCATGAAACAATCGATTTAAATGTATGTACGATGACAAAATTCACTTGTTTATGGGAGCTCTGTAGAAAAATAGGTGTTACCTTGTCGTATGTATAAGGAGTATCTCTGGGCGGTAAATCAGCGAAACAGCTCAATATGAACATAATTATTACAAGCGTATAGTACACGATATAGCTAGCAAATGTATATCGTGCATACCCGCTGTTGTTTGGGTCGTAGTTCACTATTTCAGTCCTCAGTTGTGGTAAACCAGCCAGGATCAGGAGTAACCAGAATATAAACAGCACCCCTGACGTCATAACGCCATATTTTCGATTGTAGCATATTATCGTTATACACAACATCTGCAAATGAGACCAGCGTTAAACAAACATTATACGATAAATTGGCCAAGACAATTTGCAAGGCATTTCAATTAGTGAATGAAATAGCCAATTGCACAATATGTTGTCCGTGCATCCACTTAATAATAAAATTGAACTCATTGAATTCCGAAGCTCATTTTTTTATTATTTTTTTTATTAGAGGAAAGAAATTCATTTAATTGCCTAATATAATAATAGTTATGTCTATGTAGGTGTATCCGTGTAAATTAGAAATTATTACTAATGAATATTTATTTTATTGTTAACTGTACTTCGAAACAAATATTTCTAATACACATGTTGCATTGTGAAGGGCAAATGTCAGTCGATTTGTGTATAGAATACTCAGATTCAACCAAGTCTGGCTAAGACAAACCGGTTGGAAGAAGGCCAAGAAATGTATAGATAAGAAGTACTTTCACGGATCGGGATAAATTTAATATTTTGCGCTCTATATTGTTACTATTTGGGACTTTTTTTCATGTAAGTAATTCATCATACCTACCTACGTATGGTTATTCAATGCCTAAGTTCGTAAATTCAAGACCAGTAAAACAGCAGACACGCGTCTGCTGTACCTAAATAGGCCTAGTAACCCGAATAGTCTATTTTCGTTAAATTTCAGCTGTATGTCAATGTCTACGACCCGGCATCGCGTCGCTGTCTCATTATTATTATTATCTAGATACCGATTGCTAGGAAATATGTAACACATAATAAATATATGTATCTATTCTACACTTACTATGACGTACTTAAATGATAAAATCAATACGTCTAAGGTTGGTGGGATTTCCGAGACAACAAGTGAGCTACACTTTCGTAGTGGCTGAAAATAGGTACCTACCTAAGTAAAGTTCTTTTAGTCAAAATACAAAATGCATTATCACTAGCAATTTTTGTCAATCCTTGTATTGGGCTTCTTCAGAATCTTTAGAAGAATAAAATAGAACAAAGATTCGTGAGCTCAATGGATCCCAAAGACATGGTTGTTGAAAAATGAGACAAAAACATTTTTTTAAACGATTTTTATGACTTGATTTACTGAGATAGGTACTTAATATTTTTTATTTCTCTGTTATATAATCTTAAGCAAATACGATTCAATAAAAACTGTATAGATCGTGTTTAGATAAGCGGTGTTTTCTCAAGGATGCGCCTACCAAAGTTGTATAAAAGAAATCTGATTACCACACTCAGATAATATCCATAAATAAGATAGCTGTTATCAATAGGTATTACATATTTTTAGGATCTTCTTACATACAAGCAATGACTTTTCCTTTTCTTGAATGATTATAGAATAAACAGGTTAAAACACAAAAACTATAGCAATATAATACTCACCTATTTATACATAGTTATAACATAGTATAAAGAACAAAGTAGGTTATCTTCATACAAATGCTCCGCGCGCGGCTTATATGTGTGCGCCATAGTATCTATGCGTCGACGCACGCACACTTTAACAAAATCTCGACCCGTTTCTCAGTGCGCCAGGCAGGGCTAATGTTCTTTATACTATGCTAATACCATGAGGTTCGCGCGCGCATCACTTTTCGGCACTGTTAAATGAAATAAAAAATGTCTGATAACCGTAGAAGAACGTATTGCTGTGTGTTTGGGTGTCTTAATAATTAATCGATTCCAGAACTGTCTCTGTTCAGATTACCTATTGAACAGGAAAGGTAAGCTAGTCACTTTTTCTAGCATAATATAATTTGTAGGTACTTGATGATGAGATACCTACTTACTTATTTTTACTCTTATCATTCTTCATAGTTCCTACTCAACCAGAAATTTAATTACCTACTATACTTAAATATTATAAGAAAATGTGGTATTGTATTGTTTTTTTCACAGTTTATCTGATTTGTTAAGAGCGTAGCCGTGTCGCATTATTCCATATAAATGTATTCCCAAATTTACTTTCTGAATACTATGTATAGAGCTAAAGTTTATTTTAAGAAGTTAATAATCTTTTTATAAGCTTTTTATTTTTACTAAATTTATAAATTGATAAAATATTCAATCATAATATGCTTTTCATTTCATAAATTTAGATCAAGTGCTGCTTGTTCGAAAATATTAACTAAAAGTAAAAGTGACAACCCAGGGGATCAACGCAAGAGTAGGCTAATAACTCGGCGGGCGGCCTTAGATAACCTACTGTATATATTTATACTGTGGTTATAAGCTGAAAAATGACAAAGAGTACCAGTTTTACAAAACAAATGCACACTCATAGAACTAACCACAGATGGTACCTACTAATTATAAGACACCTACTAAAGAGATAAATATAAACCCTAGGTAGGTATCCATTCACAATTTTCCTGTTCTAAGCCATTCAACTTGACGTTTTTCTTATGAACTTAGTAGGTCTTGCAAAATGTTTGATGAAACTTTGTTTATTTAGAAAAACATTATGAAATGTATTATTTTTATCAGTGCACACTCTGAGCAGTAATTATAACAACTGTAGGAGCATATTTATTTATTTAGTATGATAATAAGACAAGTAATGTAGTTTTCTTGTTAGAAACTTACATACCTATACAAGTATCTACATTATTTATAAACACTTGTGTCGAGTACAGTCAATTACAAAAATCATTGATTATACAATATAGGTATTTAGTATATTTAATTTTGAAAAAGGTTTCCATTTATAAGGTATACCTATAAATTATTTTTAAATGAAAAGGTATACATTATCAATTATTATTGTCAGTTATTCTGTTGTATAACATGATAATCAATTATGTTATATTTTACTTATATTATAATTATATTCTCGATATTTTTCACAAGATTGAATTTTTTATCACATCTTTAGTAAAACATAGCATACCTAATCTAAAGTGTAGGCCACTGTTTTATATCACTTATCATATCATTTTAGAGTACTCAGAAACACCACTTAGACATAATATTGACATAAGGCTTATTTAAATTAAAACAAAGTGTAATAAAATTAATACACAAACAAGAATCCCCACATTTTGTTAAAGCTTTGATAAAGTGGCTTAATTTTATTTAATGGTTTATTTTTTGATAAACCTCTCATCTCTCTAGCAATAAATATTTGAAAATTATAACAAAAAAAATGTACTCACCAAAGTCAATAATTTAACAACTGGTTCATAAAAATCTGCATCATATATTTTATTTTCTTCTCTTGAAGATGCATATGTTACTAGGATCAGATTAAGAATTTGTAATACAACTAGGGATAATGCTATGACCAGCTTGCTTATATTCAATTTATTCCATGGTATATTGCCTTCTCTGCTGCTAACTATATGGTAGATGTCGACCAGGGCTGCCAACCACATGTAAGCACACGGTACCCATACTAAAACTGTCTTTTGGAAACACGGAGTAAAATCTGGATTGTCTGTGTACCATGTTAGGTTGCTGTCCTAAAATATATTTATTTTATTAATACATTGTTATGTTATTAAGCTTACAACAATAATGTATGGCAATACAGATTGCACAATACTGTGTATAAATGAAAAATCTAAGTAAATAGCCACTTTTATCACACAAATATTAATTAAAGTGATTTTAATTTAAGTTATACATACAGTCTCCATAGTTTTAAATTAACCCTAACTTGAGACTTTTGGTTAACTGTAACTCTCGCAGTCAGACTGTACGATTACTAACAATTGTGCAACATTGCAATCATTTCATTGACTATTTTTAATCCAATATATATTTCAGTTACGACGTCGAGACTCAGTTCGTATGAATTATTTAATACAATATTAAAATTGTATGTATAATAAATAAATCATTTATGACACAACAAATCCAGGTAAAAACTTTGGAGTAAAAAGTTATGACTGAAATATTTTTTTTGGATCTCGATATTTTTGTAAGTTTACAAACCCAGAAAGTAGAGCCGCAAAAACTATCCAGTGAAGAGTTGTAGGTCATTATTAAATATTTCTCAACTTATAAAACTTATTTCAAAATTACCGCACTGACAAGCAAGCAGCATAAAAGTTATTTTTCAAATGACAACAAAAGTGACAACTTTCCTTTTATAAAGCTCGACCACAGAGTCCGTAGATAAGCGATTGAACTATTTCTCAGGCAAATAATTCTCATTCATGGCGAGTCTCGACATAATGATAAAAAAATTACATTTTGTCATTCACGATTTTTTTTGTAATGAATAGTTATTCTATAAGATTTATTTTTCCGCACTGTGAATGTTCGATGGAATCCGATTAACGTAAGCTAGTTTGTCTCAATAAGAATAACTAAAAAGGTTTTTAAAAAATTGCTTCGTCATAATTTTATATTTATACAGTAACACAATTGAACTCCATAGCGTTACTGATTAATAAACTTATTATTCAATGATCGACAGAAGAGAGTCGAGATTTTCGTTAACTAATGTTCTCGACTCTATAGGGCATAGAGTTATAGAGGGGTGTGAACGATTCATTCGTTTGTTTTTGTTTTTTGTTCATTCTTGGACAGTTGGCTTTGTTCATTCATTGGTTAGATGTTAGCTCATTCCTTTTAAATTTCTTCATTCATCATTATTGTCATTGTCAGTCACTCCAGGTCGGACAGTGTATACGTATTTTCTTATGGTGTGGTGTATTTTCAATAATATTGGTTTGAATGTCTATTTAATGTGTTTTTGATTAAATAATTGTAGTGACTTTTAAGTTAGTATCACACGTAAAGTGAGTTGGAGAGTTTTCACTAAAGAGCGAGCGGCCGTGTTGAGCGGTGTTTTACAATGGCTGAGTATTTAGCTGCTATATTTGGAACAGAAAAGGATAAGTAAGTATTAATTTATTAAACATCTATTGCCTTTTCTCATCTCTCTTATGATGTTATAGTTTATTAGTTTGCTATAAGAGTACTATTATTGCGATATGTTATTGAAAATAAAACCATTATAACCTCTAATTTGTGCTATTGGTAATTTGTTATATTGTGGTAGTTTACTTTTAATTATCCGTTATTCCTTATGTTTTACATATAATCGTATCACGATGATGTATTAGTATGTTCTTTCTTTTCATTACAATCATAAATGCTAATTACCTATCTGTTATGTTTCAGAGTAAACTGTTCCTTCTATTTCAAAATTGGAGCATGCAGACATGGTGACCGGTGCTCTCGTATTCATAACAAACCAACGTTCTCACAGACTGTGCTGTTGCAGAATCTGTATGTAAACCCTCAGAATTCTGCCAAGTCAGCTGATGGCAGTCATTGTAAGTATAACCTATTTACATGGAATTTTGTTTAAATTCCTTTTACTAGGCTGTGTAGTTATCTAGTTATTGCCCAATAAATACCACGCCACTGTAAATACCACGCCACTGTAAATACCACCTTAAAGTACATATGCTTTCAATTGTCCATTATAAATTAGTGATCCTAATTACACATAAATAATAATGCTGTATCATTACATTGCAGTTTTTTGTCAAATAAATACCATGCCACTTCAAAGTTCACCTTAAAATCAACATGCTTTTATTAAGTATTTAGTCAAAAAATTAAGTGGTTAAGTAAATAGTGTAATTAAAATAACATTAATCTACAAATTAATAGTATGGCAAGCATTTACATATCCATTGTCCAAATTTTTGTAAGTACAGCTTGGTTTACAGAAGTTTCATTGAAGATAAGCTATTACCACTATATTCTCATTAATGTCTCGTTCATGTTGTATTAATATTTCACTACTTTACTTTCAGTGGTTGTCGCCAATGTGTCCGATGAAGAGATGCAGGAGCATTACGACAACTTTTTTGAAGATGTCTTTGTTGAATGTGAAGACAAATATGGAGAAATTGAAGAAATGAATGTGTGTGACAACTTAGGCGATCACTTAGTTGGAAATGTGTATATAAAGGTGAGTGGCAATGATTTGTTTACGAGCTTAAGCTGGTTACTTTTACCTTCGTTTTGGGGAAACAAGTTACCCCATAAGTTATTCAAGACTATAGTCTATTTTTGTAACTTCATCCAAATTGTAAAATAGTTTGTTTATAAACAAGTAATGAACAAACATCCTCACAAACTTTCGCATTTATAATATTAGTAGGATTTTATAATCTTTTTTTTAAACATTGTGGGTTTAGAACTGTACAAAGCTCCAAAACCCTTATTGTTTAATAATGTAACTAATGAAATGTGGGCTTTTCACACCCTACCTCAGAAAGTAAGACAGATAATTGAGCTACAGAACCGCTAAGTTGATCCATAAGTTTATGCATACTTGCTGTTTACTGCTTGCTTAGTGATAATATTTTTGCCAGTTGATTAGAAAATCTATCACAATCTACTATTTAGTTCGTACAATAATATAGCCAGTTCATATTATGTAATTATGTTAACTAAAGTATTATTTTGGTTTTCATTTCTTGTTATTTTATAACTGACATTTGTCCACAGTTCCGCCGTGAAGAGGATGCTGAGAAGGCTGTTAATGACCTGAATAACCGTTGGTTTGGTGGTCGGCCAGTATATGCGGAACTGTCCCCTGTGACGGACTTCCGTGAGGCGTGCTGTCGTCAGTATGAGATGGGAGAGTGCACTCGCAGTGGATTCTGCAACTTCATGCACTTGAAGCCTATTTCTAGAGAACTAAGAAGGTGAGGTTTATATTTCCATTCAATTTTTGTTATCATACGTATTTTTTCTTTGAATATTGTAGTTCTACAGATAAGTAATTGTAATCGAGTTTTTCCTATTGTTCATCTTCAATGAGAGACTTTTTACGAAATAAGCATCAATCGTCGACATTCTAGTACCCAAGTAGTAAGTAATACACAGAAAAACCAAAGGTCTATGAACTGCATTAAAAAAGTTGTGTTATGTTTCAGATACTTGTACTCCCGTCGCAAAGGATCACGTCGTTCCCGAAGCAGGTCCCGCGACCGTCGCCGCCGCTCACGCTCTCGCGGAGAGAACCGTCGCCGCGATCCGCCGCGCAACTCCCGTTCCGGTCGCTACTGACCAACAAAACAACAAAACCCTGTGGTCTAAGGCCTAGTGTCCACGTAAGCTGCACTTCATGCTTTCGTCAATTAACGATTGTTAGGCGAATGCCTTTATTTTGCGTAGAATACATCAACATTGAGCGGCATCATGGAGCGGCAATGTCCAGTTTCCCTGTTGCCCTTCGTCGTTTTGTAGGTTACATGCATTCGCCAAATGATACGTCATGGACATTAGGCCTAACTCGCATCTCGTTCTGACCCCGAGTTGCGAACAATGTAGATCACACTGTTTTAACCTATACTATACACTGTGGACTGAAATACTGAAATGTATTCCAAATGTGAACCTAGACTTTAACAATCAAACTAAACTATTCAGAAATTTTGTATGACATTTGTTGAGATACAATTCATACATAGTCTGTTTTGATTTTATACAACCAACAAGAAACATTTTCTATATAATGTCTTCAGTTTCAATCGGGTTTTAATAACTTTCAATGAATTCAAATTACCATTTAATTTCAACTTGTTGTGTATTGTACAACTTTTAAATTGCAAGTTACAAGTTATGCATGCAAATTGTGTAGTTTTGATGACATAAGTACAATACTTATTTTAACTTCGAAATTTAATCAATCTGATTAATAATAATTGTTACAAGTATTGCACTCCTTAAATATTGTGAACTGTTTTTGTTGTAACATTCACTATAAGAGTTAATGAGTTTTTAAATTCATTATCATTTACCGATAGCTATGTGTCCTTTTAAGGACTTTATTGGGCAGTATGGTGCCCAGAATATTTGTGTAAGAGAATGTGAATGATGCAAAAATTAATATAAGTTAAATCTTCAATACTGCTCTTTATTTTCCTAAATCCATTTAAATATTGTACATAACAGATCTCAACAGCTAGTTACAAAACATTAAAGCATTAGTTTTATTATTATCCCCGAAAACCGAAATTCTGCAACATATAATTATTGTTTATTTACATTTAATTGTGTTTCTTCGTAAATATCTTCCCAGAAAGTGATATTATCTTTGCGAGGATCTTTTTTACATTGCAGTGTTTTCCCAATAATGTAATAATTTCTTTCGTGTTCCTTGAATGGCTTCCATTCCTCGATGCTATCCGCCGTAGGTTTCCTGGAATTAATAAAAATAATGAATATAATTTTATGTGAGGTTTACTCAGTTTGTTTTTGTATTTATATGAGTAAACAAACTACCGATTTCATGACTAAAGAGTAAGCAATTTCTTTCAACATCTCGAGAACTTTGTACGCGTAGCGTAGCATAACAGGACTCATGCCAACGTTTTGCAGTTTATGTTTGGTGGTTAACAAAGCGCGGTCGCTTTGGTTAACGTTGCAAATTATCTAGCAACTTTGTTACTGACTGTACTGCGACAATGTTTGTACAATTCGTGTCTACAGAGATATGGCGGTCTTAAACTGAAGTGGTGCATCTACTATGTGTTTTCGAAAGTACTTTAATTCAGCTTACCCAGTATTAGCGAAGTCCGTCCAAAGTTTTACAAATTGTTTTATTATGTCTATTGATTCATCCGAGAATGGTATATCTAAACATGTCACGTTAAATAGATACGCTAGTTCATCAGAATGACAAACACCTTTCAAAGAATCCATGTTGTATGACTTTTTCGTGAAGTTTCTTTCAGTTTCAGCAACAAACTCGTATAAATAAACTGGTTCTGAAGCGTGCTGCAGATGGTAGCGCGCATACCTAACGATATTGTATAAAAACACTCTATCTGTTTCTAAATCTGAGTATCTTTGTATTTCTTCCATCGATATCGGTTTATCGTCAAAATAGTGTTTTCTTATTCTTTCGTCTGCTTTTTGCACTTTTTCTGGTTCCCATTTTAATTTTAATTCTCTTGGAACAACAGCACCTGCAGTTGTTAGGAACCCAGCGATGTGAGGGAGTTTTCTTGCAATTTCTATTCCGTCACCAGAAGTAAATCCTAATATAAGAGGAACTTTAGCCATATGCCCGTTTTTCACCAATTCTATTGGTAAATCTGATAAAAATTTGTTTTTGTCTGAACCAACTTTTTCAATTACGGGTCCAAACAGAATGCTATCTAATAAATCATTGTATTTTAATTCTAACAATGGTAACTGTATATTAATCAAAGACTTGGCTGGTACGCTTCTTAAGAACTCTAAAAGTTCTTTTGGATCGTCAGTGTCTTTTCCTAAAAGTTTGCCTAGTTGAAAAGCCCTTTGACGAGCATATAAATTATAGCTCCACTCATTGAGGCAGACACCACTCTGGCATATAGCTTTGCTAAATAGTCCTTCACTCATTTTGGACACTAAATGACAGGACACAGAAGCGGACCCTGCACTACATCCGAAGATGGTCACATTGTTGGGATCTCCTCCGAAAGCTGCGATATTTTGTTTTACCCACTTTAAAGCTAAGACTTGGTCTTTCATGCCAGCGTTTCCTGGAACTTCTTCAGTGTCTAAACAGAGGAAACCTAAGACTTCTAATCTATAGTTAATTGTTACTAGTATGATGTCATGTTCCATGAAGAACTCAGGACCGTAGAAGTCTGAGTCTCCTGAGCCAGTGTAAAACCCGCCGCCGTGGATCCAGACCATTACAGGAAGCGGACTGGATGGTGTAAGTGTTTTAGTGTACACATTTAAGTAGAGACAATCTTCACTGCCTGCTTCTACACGATTCATACGCTCGTTGTACTGCGGGCAGACGGGGCCATGTTGCGACGCGTCCCGGACTCCCTCCCAGGGTTCAGGAGGCTCCGGAGCCTGTAAATATGTAATTGGTTTGAATAAAAACTTTTTTTAAATGTTCCGTGGAGCATATAAGCAAACTGTCGATAAGGACCCTTGAACCTTAAAGTATAAGTAGTTGGATATGCTTTATATTCGTGTTCTACTCTACTTTACGTCGTTACCATCTATTTAAGATAATAAGCAAACTGCTTGATATGGTAATATGATTTGGTATTTAATGTACTCGTCGTCGAAATAAAAATTTCATTATAAACCTACGTCTACTACGCGAATACCATCATACAAATGTCTTTAGTCTCAAACTGAATACTAATGTTGCATGCTTAGGAATGCTTTCGTTTGAAGTGAGAAAAAAACGCTACACCCCGTACATAGGTAAGTATGTTGGTACTTACTCACCTTGAATCTTAATTCACCAAGTGGCGGCTTGGCATACGGTATGCCTTTGAACGCCACATAACTGACGGTGTCGTGGCATACGACTCCCTTCAACTCGCCTTGCACAGTTTTCACACGCGGCATTGGCAGATCGCGACTCACTCTGTAAATAGAATTAAACTTTACAATTTATAGTCAACAAAGTAATATGGGAAAATTAATTATAATTATATTGTAATCAGCTTTGAGTAAAAATCGTTATGACATCTAGGTAAGACTTATTTAGCGTGTGAAACTGTCTGTTGGTTTGGTGCCAAAGCAGGCATGTAGTAGGTATATAAAGTAAGTATCATTATTATATAAAATCGTGTCTACTTCCTGTATTTGTACGAGATGCATAGAAACAAGATAAATTAAATTAATGTTGTAATTTTTCTTATAGATGGCAATGCGCAAACAAGTTGTATTTATTTATATCTAGAATCTAGATACAGTTTCATACGTAGGTAATCATCATAAATGTCGATCGAGCAATGTACCCACATTGCACACATCCATTTACTTATTACTCAACCACTTAACAATTTCATAATATTTTTTTAACTATTTTCTTTAGACTACGTAGGAATTATATATACTTGAATTAATTGGAATTTGGAACCAATTTCGAAGATGCACCGGAGTGCTGTCAATATTCAGAGTGGACAGTGTTGACCGGTATCACATAGGTATCAGATATGCAGTGACGTTCTTATGTGTGGGTGACGTCACGATTTAATCACGACACACGATGCAGACGTGAAGCGTTTACTATCTGCACGTTGGACATTGTAATTCGTAAGTACCTATGTACCTAGGTACTTGTAAACGTTTCTCTGGTTTGAACACTACATCTATCTATTTATTTAAGTATGTAATTTTAATTAGGATCGGTTATCAGAATTTCAGGTAGTTTGAATCAGTCTAATTACTAATTTTAACACCAAATCCTATGTTGAGTGTATAATTTTTTTTAATAACATTGAATATAATCTATTAGAAAAATAAACACCACATTTATTGTGTGTGTATTCTGTTTTAACAATAAGTAATTAATTAAAGTAACATTAACTAAACGTAGATAACGTGATTTAAAAGCCGTTTATTTATACGAAGAATTCTTTTAACAATGAAAAATGAAGTACCTAAGCGCAGTGTTTAAAGGTTATTTCATAACAAATGAAATGTCAAAACAATGTGTCACGTTGCATAGCGATTGATTCAAGGTAGAGACAAAACTAGAGAGTACGGTATCACTGTTTGCTTTTTTTATCAAAATCCGTTATACAGAAGTAGGGGAGAATATATAAAAGTAGGGGACTAATATGTTATGGTAATAGTTGATATATACGGTCGACTGTAACAGTTAATGATTCTTGTTATGATAGATAGTTTTTTGACTGTACCTACCACGAGTAATTTAAATTATTCACAGAATGCTTGACTTGATCACTTTTAAGTTATCCTTTTTTAACTTGGTATTCGGTAAATATTTTGGTCTGACGAAATTAAATATGTGTATATCTAAATAGATATTATTATATTTTTGAACGAAATCGTCCCCTCGCACCAACCCCTTCATAGCGCTTAGTGCGCATGTACGATTTCTGAGGCGGTATTTTGAAACTATCCGTGTACTCCGTACCTATCTAAATTTAGCTAAACTTAACTCGATTAAGTTTAGCACAAACAAACAGTATTTTTATATCAAGTACCTAAACAGATTTATCTAAATATCCAACTTCAAAGATTCTAAATACTGATCACCAGTAATGTAATAGATATTTTTAATGGAACGCGAAATAAACTTAAAACGTTCGTAAGGATGGTTGGTTCAAGGTGGCACTCGGTAACTTCTTTTGTTCCTAAGACGGCCCTGAGTACCTACGAAGGAATACCTATCTGGACGCCGGCAGCCGTTCAATTCATCTTCTAATATGTTCGTTAAGTTAACTTTGTGTAAAGTCCATCAGTATTCTGGTGAATCTACCTATTGGTTGGAAACTATGACATAGTTACTTTGACTGAGTGGTTTGGTTAGATACTCTACCTAGTTGTCGGAAGTACTAACTGCCTGCAAAATATGAGTTGGTAGTTGGTACATACGTTACAAAGTTACTGAATTCAATGGGTGAATGTTAGTTGTTTACTGCTTAATATACAACATAAGACATTTAACTGGGTACTCCTTTATGCTTGGAAGTCTCGTAAGTGTTCTTAAAACATTTTAATCGATAAAAATGTAAATAATACAGTATGAATAAAAAAATATAAGAGCACGTACCTAACCCGATTTCAATGACACAAATTTTTCAGTTAACTCACAGCAAAGGTATTGGCAACAGCTGAACATGCGTCGATGCTCTATGGGTATGGTACGTCGATGGGTCTCTTAATATACCTTGGGTAGGTAAACAGTAATGAGCCAGTCAATTACATAATTATAGTTAAGAGTATTATCACAATACACAAGATTAACTCTACACACTCAAAATTAAGAGCCATTAATTAAGCAAGTAAACAAACAGTAAACACGAAATGTCTGTGTTTATCTGTCTACGATTGTAAATGGGGATATGTTGAGGATAAATCCCAGAGATCGTTGCAAGTTGTCCCGTGAAACATTATGAACAAATGTAGTAGCTTTCAAACAGCTTATGCACATTGCACAGGAAACAATGGACGAACACGGAATTAGGGATGTACTACGAAAGTGGGGGGTTTTTGATGACCTTTTAAATAGGTACTTAATTAAAATTGTGTGTAGGTACCTAAAGATGTATTTTCTATTGCGAAGAGATACATACATTGATAAAATACACCATCAAATATATCAATTATATTTATACTTTTATTTATTACAGTAGTAGAACAGTTGAAAGGAATGTACCTAAGGGTTTTATAATGGTCGCCTAGGTTTTTATTATAATTAGGTGTAGTAACCAGTTTTCTAAGGTCAAACTAGTACAGGCACTTCTATTGCACTTCACTTATGTATGAAGCATGCGAAATTGTGAAGGTATCTATGAAGGTATCCTTTAATAATATTAGCATTTTCAACCGATGAACTCCAATAGAGTGGTAGTTTTGCCCATTAATGCGTAGGTAAGTATCAGCTTTACAAATAATGAAATCCACGATAAGTTTATTGGAAGGCAGAATGTAACAACGACCTACGCCTATTTAATTAGGAATAAGAAGAACATTTATGTTCAAGTTAATAAAAGTATTAACTTAGATTACTTAAACCTTTTAACGTCAATTAAATAAAGGTAAAGATGAATTATTGAAAACTAAAAAGCTTTATCTTAACAGCTAAGAGCTAAAACTCATGGATGCTTCGTTTGAGAAAACAAAAAAGGATTCCTTTTTTAAATTACACGAGTAGCATTCGTTGTTTTTTTAATTTCACGCTTATTTGCTGTACTTACAGGCTGATTGTTTTACTCGTCCCTTCGCGCGACGAGCAAAAATAACAGCATATCGATCGCCAATGCATTGTAAAATCTGTATTAGTTACGTTATGTTAAGTTGTATGTACGTATGTCACACTTGCACTTCTATATTTAACACGGGCACTATAGTAAAATGGCTGCTTGGTGTAAGCAATAAACGGGCACTCACTACGAACTCCGTACTGTATGTTACGTTATCTGTATTATCTTCAATTACCTACAATAGTTTATTATCTACGTTATCTAGCACTAAGTAAAATATTATTCTGATTCATTATAGCAGACTAATCATTTAATTGTTGGACTGTAAAGTTTATCTTATTTCTGGACTTTGAAACTGTTACGATGACGGCATGCATGATGATTTTTGCTAATTAATCTACTTACATGATACCTTGATATCATAATTTATATTCTTTTGAACCAAACATCTACATATATAGACCTCGTTTACCAGTATAAGTATAGTTAGTAAGGAGCCAGCTACCCGTTCTCTGTTGCATTTGACACATAAATAAAAAATTGTTTCGTTTACATTTTCTTCCATTTAATTTTGCCTCATACCTAGAAGTCGAAAATTCGAAATGCATGTGTTGATATTTGTGACGAACAAAGTACCTAACGGATATTTGGGTTCCACAACCCTCAGTCCAGTACGATTTGTATTTATACCTTTACCGTATGTATTTGGATTTATGCTTTACCGTAATAACCTCACCCATGGACACTGAACTTACAACACAAATATCGAAAAGGGTATTATTACTATACTTCTACGCCTTTTTGGCGAAAAAGTAGAATTGTGTAAGACTAAGCATTTAAATCACACTTTTTAAACGAAAACTACGAAAATAATTTAATATAATTTTATTTATCTAACCTAACGATAATGAACTTTAACGCTGTAATTCAGTTGATATTATGTAGAATTGTAGATAGTTACAGTACCTAGATAACTTTGTACATAAGTATCCAAGTACTTACTCATAGTTGCTTAGTCACGACAGATTAGCAAATCTCACAAGCTTAAGCTACTATTACACAATAGGACACACACATGCCTGACAATAGCATGCTAAAAGGCGTGTTATTGAGCGTGCTCAAAAATGTTCAAAAATCGAACGCCTATCGATTGGCAAACATGTTTGAAATGAGCATGCTAATTTTGTTTCTAGTGATAAGTGCTCAATTGAAGCATGCTTTTATGCTGGAAATTAGCATGGCTACCACTACCTTTACCTCTGTCTTATTATTTACAGACCACTAAAATGTATTTCAAATTGCAGATGGACATGTAACTCAGGTACTTAAGTTACTCATTTGTCTGGCCTTTTCTCTATAAATATAGTTTTCTTTTGAACCAAATTATAACCAGATTTGACTAAAAGTGGCAATATTTTACATGAATCGATTACTATCAGCTTTCCATAACCTGATGATTGAGATGATAATTTTGATCAGATGTGACAACTGCTATACTTAGATGTATGGTTAAATAAAAAATCGAGAGGGGTATGTCTGCTAGGACTGCTAGAAACTAATACTATCTGGAGCAAAATAGATCGCACCGTTATTTTCTCGTAAAATAGGTTTGCAATAATATTTGGTCTGACGCAAGAATCGAATCCACACAAACCTACAACAGCGATTATTATGAGATTAAGCGAATCAGAAAAGTACCTGTCCATGTCTAAAATAAATTCTATGTGGATTCTATATCATATCGCAACTTGAAAGATTTTTTTCATTCGATTGGTTTTTATCACGATGGCTATTTAATATTAGTTGTACTTAAAGTATACTAAGATAGACACTCACTGTCTTGTGAATTAGTTAGTAGGTATGTATTAGAATACTTAAATCTGTAGACACATTTACGCGTGTTCATGAAAAGTTTTCATTGAAAACTTACCAATTTTTTTGAGATTTCAATTAAAAATGTAGCTATCTAGGTATTTAAGTAGCACTTTATTTCAACGAACTAAATGTTCCAGCGTTATTTATTCCATAGCCACGATATTTTGAGCCAGTAGCCATTATTTTCTATCTTCAATAGATATAGGTAAGTTGGACCCAGATTGCTTTTTTACGTAATTTCTGTACCTTCAGTGAAAAGTGATATAAGTGAAAAATCATAGTTTTGAGTAATTTAAGGTTAAAGATTTAAAAAAATCTCGTTATTTTTCTAACGTTCTAAAATAAAAAATGATATGTAGTACGTGTAGATACTATTTTAAAGATTATATAGAGCTTGGTTTGAAAATATTACTTTGCACGGAATTTAAGTAATTAGTAAAAATAGCCAGTTATATCACCGTACACTATAGTTTACTTTGCTTATTTTTGTGTATTTAAATCTATAATGAAATGAATTATTTTACACATTTAGTTACCGTTTTGTGTGAAATGTTATAGGGCTTGTGTTTTGGCATGTTTTGCCTGCAAATAGTTGTTGTGAGAAAAAGTCGTAAAACTAATATGATCATTTTGATTATCAGCAAACTTTTTTCATTGTTTTATTTAAAATTCCTTCGTAAATATTCAATTGTACCCCTAAACACCAATGTATTTTTCAAACTAGTAAGTGATTAATGTTACAAGCTAGAATTTATTGTGACACATTTTGTTTACATCGACGTGTTTATTGATACAAGTAATAAGTATTTTCAAACGTTTTTGTCATAGAAAGGGTAAAAATATGTTAATATCATAATAAAATAATAACTTAATTAAAAAAAGCGTTTCTTTAATAAAGAATTCTTGAATATATGTAATTACAATTAGTAGCAAAACAATAAAATATTATTGGTATTTATCGTTAATCTGATCTTTCGAGTATGTATAACAATATAATTAACATCCTTATAAAAAAATATAATTTTTAAACCTCTTTATTATTAATCTTAAATAGTCTTATAGCTTATTTAATCAGTCTCAAAAAATCAAATAACATACGTGTTGTACACATAGCACTCAACAATTCCCTATAAAATACAATATAACATCCTTTTAAAAAAACACAACTTTTAAACCTACTTATCGTTAATCTTGAACGGAGATCGAATCAGTCTTAAATCGTATGAAATCGCGTTCCGCGCGCGCCTCAAAGAGCCATCAGACCACCACAATGGGGCCCAATAGGGCCGATGCCGATTCGGAGTCGCGGAGAACCTAACGGGTAACCGGGGCTCCGGCTCGACGTGCAGGAGAAGGAACGGGGTGGTTTTTAGTCAGTAAGAGTCTGACACTCCCTTCCACCTCACCCAGGCGGGAGCAGTCATTCGACGATTTTCCCCCCTTAAAAAAAATGTTTTGATTAAAAGTATTGTTGACAATTGATTAACAACAACGTGTGCCTATCCCTATTATACATTTAATAAATGAGAATTAAAATAATTGTTAGCCTACCTGTATTATTATTATTATCATTTCCATATATTTATTTAAACTTTCTCTAAAATTACATTTTTAAATACTACAGTATAAAAATAATATTTAAAAATATAAAAATAGGAGCCGACCAGTAGTGGAAGCATGGTCCAAGCTACCAGTGGTTAGGGCTCCAGAGACAGAAACCTCCTAACAATGCGCGCCGTTTCAAGGAGAACTGCCTTCTGTATCAGGCCCTTGACCCAACTGCCTAACGCTAGCCTCCTAAGGTGGTTGTCGAGGCTATTAGGGATTAACCCATTGGTCGATACGACTATCGGCACAATGATAGCCGAATCTACATTCCACATGTCGACAACCTCGTGAGCCAAATCAAGATATTTGATTTGTTTATCTTTTTCAGCTTTCACGAGGTTCTCATCATGAGGAATAGTGATATCGATTATCATCGTGCGGCGCACTTGTCGGTCTATCACCACTATATCAGGTTTGTTCGCTATAATAGTCCTGTCAGTGATGATAGACCGGTCCCAGTACAACGTGATATGGTCATTTTCCAGAACTGGGTCGGGCACATACTTGTAGTACGGTACCTCAGACTCAACAAGTCGATAGTGCAAAGCAAGTTGCTGATGGATAATCTTGGCTACTTGATTATGCCTATGCAAATATTCACTGTTAGCCAAACGACTACAACCAGAAATAATATGTCTAATGGATTCACCAGGACTATGACATGCCCGACATATGTCAACCGTCCCATCCTTAATTATATATTTCCGGTAGTTATTCGTAAGGATAACTTCGTCCATAATTGCACAGACAAATCCTTCAGTTTCTCCAATAGATTACTGAATCGTAGCCAAGATACGGACGCTATAAAATCTACACTGGGCCCATAAAGGGCCCGGAAGAAGCGTCCGTGGAGCTCCTTGCTATGCCATACCTCCTTGCGATCATTGACGCTCAGTACCACAGGTTTGCGCCAGTTCTCTTTTGCCAAGGATAGCGGAGTGAATCTATTGTCCACCGCTGCTACTTCTCGATGCATACCCTCGTTGACTTTCAGGAAATATTCCCTGAGGCTGCACACCTCACGGTTGTGAAGGGTCTTAGCATTTAATAAGCCTCGACCACCACACTTCCGCGGGATGTACAACCTCATGACCGACGAACGAGGGTGATGCATGCGATTTGCAGTCAGCAGGGTCCGGACTCGTCTATCCAGGGTGTCAAGTTCAGTCTGTGTCCACTTGAGTATACCAAAAGAATACATTAGGACTGGCATGACCCAACCGTTAAAGGCTCGCACCTTGTTTCCGCCTGATAAGGAACTTTTCAGTACCTTATTCAGGCGGCCAAAGAAGCGCTCCTGTAACGATTGCTTCATGTCCGGTCCATTAATGCCTAATCCTTCTGACATACCCAGGTACTTGTATGTATCGTTTGCGGAGAGTGATCTCAGCTTTGTGAAATCTGAGAGTTCTAGTCCTTCAGATTCCACAATCCCTCCTCGCTTTACATGCATGACCGCACACTTGTCTACTCCAAACTCCATTCTGATGGAACTACTAAATGTTTCATTATTATCATAATTAATAATCGAAAATTAGATATTTTTTTATAAATTAATTAATATTGTTTCAAAATAGGT